CTCTAGGAGAGAAAAACTGGCCCATAGAGACCAGTGAAGCAGCTGTAAAATGTGTCACTCTGTGAGACAGATCCACGTGGAGGGTTTGCCAGTCCACAGATGGAGACCTCTGAGTACACTGGATGAGGCACACATGTGCGTGTAATCCAGGCTGGCTGGAGCGAGGGGCGGATCATGGCATCAGGACTCTGCTGGGGATGCTGTATCTCTGTCTCTCACTCACAGAAGATGAATTTTCCTAAATATACATATATATGTATATATATACATATATATATACGTGTGTGTGTATATATATATATGTATGTGTGTATATATATGTGTGTGTATGTATATATATGTGTGTGTATATATGTGTGTGTATATATATATGTGTGTGTGTATATATATACATGTGTGTATGTATATATGTGTGTGTGTGTGTATGTATATATAATTTTATTGATTTGGTAAGGGCATATGTGTTCACCAAAGAGAGAGAGAGGGAAAGTGAGAAAGCAAGCCACCAGGACCTGAGCCATGATCACTCATGTGGGAGTCCAGCACCCTAACCACCACACCACCTGCTGGCCCCAAAAGTTTATAAACTTTTTAAAAGAGTGGTTTATAGAGGCCAGCAGGCAGTACAGTGGTTAAGACACTGAGCGTTCACATGGCTGACTATGGTTCAAGTCCCAGACCTGCCGGCTTGAAACTCATGTCAGGCATGTGTGCATGCATGCCCAAAATCCCAAGAGAATGGAGAAGAGATTGCAGCATGGCCATCCCTCCTTGAAGAGTGATTTCTTGCTTTCTGTCTCTGTTTCATTCTCTCTGGTGAACACACAGACCTTATAGCTAAAATCTCACTCTCTCAAAAAAAAAAAAAAAAAAGTGGTTCATAGATATTTTGTTTAGATCTTATTTTAAAAATTTAAATTACTTAATTTTATTTATTTATTCATTTATTGTAATTTGACCAGAGAGAAACACAAAGAGAGAGAGGGGGATAGTGAGAAAGCAAGCCACCAGGTCTGGGATTCGAACCATGCTCAGCCATGTGGGATTGTCCAGTGCCTTAACCACCACACCACCTGTTGGTCCCCCTAGATCTTAAAATTTAAGAATCTGAGTTTCAGGTCAGCTCTGCGGTCTGGTAGTTAAGGTAGCTGGATCCCATAGAGCCAACCCTAAGGTTCAAGTTCCAGACCCGGTGGCTTTAGAAAGATGCTTGGCATGAGTGCATACATGGCCCATACCCTGAAAGGAAGTAGAGAGGAGAAGGGATTGCAGTGACCGTCCACCATGGGGGCTTTTACCTCTCCCTCTGTCTTTCTAGTGGGCACACATGCCCTCTAGCAAAAACAAAAAATCTGGATTTCTGAACCTCTTTCCAAAAAATTGGGGTTTTCTGCAATGCTGGGCGCAGGTACCCACAGAAGCACTATAGCCCAGAGCTGCATGGCAGCTATGAGAGAAGCATCTGCTCCCCACTTCTCAGACACCCCACACAGCCCATTAAGCCCAAGTAAGCTCCTTGCCCGGCCTCAGAGGAGGGGTCTGGAGCATCTGCAGTGAGGCATAATCAATAGAGCCTGCAATCGATGGGCGCTCACGTCCACCCAAGGCCATGGGGGCTCCCAGTAGTGCCTCTGAGTCCCAGCCTGATCCCTCACACCAGAGTTCCCACCTCATCCTTTCTTCCTCCTGGTTAGAAAGGAAGGAAGGAAAGAATTAAAAAATTATTTCTGCCAGTCTGTGGTGTGGTGGTTAAGGCAGCTGGATCCCATATGGCCAATGCACAGTTCAAGTCCCAGACCTAGTAGTTTGAAAAACATGTTGGGGAGGGCCAACAGATGGCATGGTAGGGAAGGGCGCTGGACTCCCCCACATGAATGAGCGCGACCAGGTCCCACACCTGCCAGCTTGCTTTCTCACTTTCCCTCTCTCTCTTATTCTGTCCCTCTCTGATCAAATTAAAATAAAGTTAAATAAAATAATTATTAAAAAAAAAAAAGAAATAGAGAAAAATATGTTGGGTGCCTGTGCGTGCGTACACAAATCCTGAGAGGAGATGGAGAAGGGATTGCAGCATCACTATCCCCACTGGGGGTGCTTTCTTATTCTCTCTCTCTCTCTCACTGCCTCTCTCCTTGGAGCACGGACACCCACTAGCAAATTAAAAAATAATAATAAAAAGGTTTATTTCTTACATAAGCAAGAGAAATGGCACTGGCACCCACGAGTCTTGACACCACAATCCACTCCGGCTTCAGCCATCCTGGCGGGCATGTGACAGAGGCGCTCGGGAGGTCTGCAGATGGAAATCGGGAACTTTCTCCTGTGGGGTAGCTTCACAGAGTATTGTGTTTTACCACTGCACCACCATCAGGACCATCTGCTGATTTATATCACCCAAATAATGACAAGAAAAAAAATTTTAAGGATTGCTTTAAAAAATGACTGTCGCAACATCCTAAAATTGTTTTTGTTCAGAATCAACTTGTGCCCAGGGGTTCCTAACTTCAGGTAGAGCTCTAGGTAAAAGGTCTTAGTGACCTGTGATGGTAACACGAGGAGGGGGAGAGGAAATCGGCAGAGAATAAGCAGCTGGAGGCAGAGGGCAACACAGTTACACGCACAAGCACGGTCTCGCCTCCTCGAAGCTCGTATTCTCTACAGCCCTGTGAACTGCAGAGAGCTGGTTTGTATGTATGAGTGTGTGTGCATTTTTTTCCACTCAACAGACACCAGAGAGGGGGGAGAGAACACCCTGCAATGGGGCATAGTCACCCCTTAATACATTCGCTTCCATTTCTTCATCCTGTCAAAAACTTTTGGGCAAGCACACACGCGTGCCTTGAGTAATTTTCAAGCCGTTGGAGTCAGGATTCGAACCATGGCTGCCATATGGGATCTGGTTCCCTTAGCCCCAGGCCACAGGGCTGGCTCCGAGAAGAACCAGACTCTAAGAGGACACGTGGCTCCTGATCGGTGAGAGAAGGAACACCTCATGTGAGCAACGGCAAAGAGTGAGTCTCAGAAACAGGATGTAAAAAAGGCTTCTTTATTGAGAGCAGCGAGTGTAAAATAAAAAACAAACAAACAAAACAAACAAACAAAAAACAACAATAAAAGTATGAGGCAGGGGTGGTCCACCTTCCCCATATCCTCCAGGAACCCCCTGCCTCCCATACCCACCCACCCCACGCTGCAGTTACATACAAAAGCCGCCCATGGTGCATACAAAACGGGCGGGTTATATAGTCAAAAGCTCCTGAAAACTCCTTCATTGCCAGGCACTTAGGATGAGGGAAGGAAAGAAAGGTCGGGGAAGGTCTGGGTGTGGGTCAGCGTGCACAGGCTTGCAGTGAGGAAGACTCACTTGCTGTGCCCCCCACAATCCTGGTCTAGACTCCCAGGTAGGACCCCTGGGGCAGGAGGCCCCTTGGCCCTGTGTGCTCAGAACTATCACGGAAATGAGTATATTAAGGAACTCCCCCCCAAACCTAGCCCATCCCCAGCCCAGCCCTCCCGGGGCAAAGTTGGCAGGTGAGTGGCGGAGCTGGATCTGGTCAAGTGGAGAGGTCGCAGGCCAGAAACGGGGGTTACCTGAGGTACCCACACTGCCCCTGATGGGGGAAGGGGTGGCAGAGAAAGCTGCCCAGCCCAAGCCCTAGTCACCAGGTCTGGGTCCAAATCAGCCTCCCCACGGGCTGAGTTTGAGGAAGAGGAGGAGAGCCCAGGCCCTGCCCAGACCTCAGCAATGCCTGTGTGCTAGGGCCCGGGGCCGAGGAGGACAGGGATCTTGCCCATCATGCTACAGGCTCCCCCCAGGAGGTGCCCCCCGCCCACACTATCCTGACGCACAGCCCGCCAGGCCACCTGCCAGCTTGCTTTCTCACTTTCCCTCTCTCTCTTATTCTGTCCCTCTCTGATCAAATTAAAATAAAGTTAAATAAAATAATTATTAAAAAAAAAAAAGAAATAGAGAAAAATATGTTGGGTGCCTGTGCGTGCGTACACAAATCCTGAGAGGAGATGGAGAAGGGATTGCAGCATCACTATCCCCACTGGGGGTGCTTTCTTATTCTCTCTCTCTCTCTCTCACTGCCTCTCTCCTTGGAGCACGGACACCCACTAGCAAATTAAAAAATAATAATAAAAAGGTTTATTTCTTACATAAGCAAGAGAAATGGCACTGGCACCCACGAGTCTTGACACCACAATCCACTCCGGCTTCAGCCATCCTGGCGGGCATGTGACAGAGGCGCTCGGGAGGTCTGCAGATGGAAATCGGGAACTTTCTCCTGTGGGGTAGCTTCACAGAGTATTGTGTTTTACCACTGCACCACCATCAGGACCATCTGCTGATTTATATCACCCAAATAATGACAAGAAAAAAAATTTTAAGGATTGCTTTAAAAAATGACTGTCGCAACATCCTAAAATTGTTTTTGTTCAGAATCAACTTGTGCCCAGGGGTTCCTAACTTCAGGTAGAGCTCTAGGTAAAAGGTCTTAGTGACCTGTGATGGTAACACGAGGAGGGGGAGAGGAAATCGGCAGAGTATAAGCAGCTGGAGGCAGAGGGCAACACAGTTACACGCACAAGCACGGTCTCGCCTCCTCGAAGCTCGCATTCTCTACAGCCCTGTGAACTGCCAGAGAGCTGGTTTGTATGTATGAGTGTGTGTGCATTTTTTTCCACTCAACAGACACCAGAGAGGGGGGAGAGAACACCCTGCAATGGGGCATAGTCACCCCTTAATACATTCGCTTCCATTTCTTCATCCTGTCAAAAACTTTTGGGCAAGCACACACGCGTGCCTTGAGTAATTTTCAAGCCGTTGGAGTCAGGATTCGAACCATGGCTGCCATATGGGATCTGGTTCCCTTAGCCCCAGGCCACAGGGCTGGCTCCGAGAAGAACCAGACTCTAAGAGGACACGTGGCTCCTGATCGGTGAGAGAAGGAACACCTCATGTGAGCAACGGCAAAGAGTGAGTCTCAGAAACAGGATGTAAAAAAGGCTTCTTTATTGAGAGCAGCGAGTGTAAAATAAAAAACAAACAAACAAAACAAACAAACAAAAAACAACAATAAAAGTATGAGGCAGGGGTGGTCCACCTTCCCCATATCCTCCAGGAACCCCCTGCCTCCCATACCCACCCACCCCACGCTGCAGTTACATACAAAAGCCGCCCATGGTGCATACAAAACGGGCGGGTTATATAGTCAAAAGCTCCTGAAAACTCCTTCATTGCCAGGCACTTAGGATGAGGGAAGGAAAGAAAGGTCGGGGAAGGTCTGGGTGTGGGTCAGCGTGCACAGGCTTGCAGTGAGGAAGACTCACTTGCTGTGCCCCCCACAATCCTGGTCTAGACTCCCAGGTAGGACCCCTGGGGCAGGAGGCCCCTTGGCCCTGTGTGCTCAGAACTATCACGGAAATGAGTATATTAAGGAACTCCCCCCCAAACCTAGCCCATCCCCAGCCCAGCCCTCCCGGGGCAAAGTTGGCAGGTGAGTGGCGGAGCTGGATCTGGTCAAGTGGAGAGGTCGCAGGCCAGAAACGGGGGTTACCTGAGGTACCCACACTGCCCCTGATGGGGGAAGGGGTGGCAGAGAAAGCTGCCCAGCCCAAGCCCTAGTCACCAGGTCTGGGTCCAAATCAGCCTCCCCACGGGCTGAGTTTGAGGAAGAGGAGGAGAGCCCAGGCCCTGCCCAGACCTCAGCAATGCCTGTGTGCTAGGGCCCGGGGCCGAGGAGGACAGGGATCTTGCCCATCATGCTACAGGCTCCCCCCAGGAGGTGCCCCCCGCCCACACTATCCTGAGGCACAGCCGGGCAGGTGCCCTCCTCACGGCTTGCTGTCTGCGGGGCTGTCTCCCAGGATGTTGGCGATCTCGCTGAAGGAGGGCCGGTCTTTGGGGCTGAGCGCCCAGCAACGCTGCATCAGCCGGTAGAGCTTGGCAGGGCAGCCCTCAGGCTGCGGAAGTCTAGCCTTCCCAGCCTGCAGATCTGCAGGGAAGACAGCGGGTGGAGTGTCAGCCACGATGCTGAACCACCACAGCCAGCCTAGCTGCGCAGAGCAGGCCGGAGTGTACTGATCTTCCATGTGGGAAGACACATGGCCCACCGCAGGTCCAGATGCCAAGGCGATCTGAAACACACCAGGCACGTGCGCACAACATCCCAATAAGCTGGAGGGTTGGAGGGAGAGGTGTGGCATGAGGAGGAGACTGTTGTGCCTGTCTGTCTCGCTTTCTCGTCCTCTCATGTGTGAGCTGTTGCGCTCTCTCGTGAAAGAAACAAACATTTAACAACATGCCCAGAACTTTGCAGAGCCCACAGTTCTTCAGGAAGCCCTGTGAGAACCACTCCGGGGGAGCACTGGTTAGCGTCAGGGAGGACTCTCCTGCCCCAGCTCCCTGGAGCAGGAAGGGCAGGCCCAGGCAGTACGGATCCACGCACAGGAGATGAAGTGAGCTGATGGACTGGTGCCACTGTGGCTACAGTAGGTACTGAGTACGAGGGCCATTTGCCAACCAGTGTGGAAGTATTGAAATATTTTAACAACGGGAGTGGTCATGTTCGTATATCTGCCAATATTAGCCCTGAGGGGTCAGGCAGGCTGCACTGGCCCTGGGACCTTGAGCAAGCTCTCCACCCAGGGCCACTTGGGATCATCCCTGGAAATACAGCTGCCTACCTGCCAGCACTTCATCGTCTGCCTGCCCGCCGTGGGGCATCTCCCCGTGGGTGAACACCTCCCACATCAGCACACCGAAGGCCCAGACGTCTGACTTGGTGGAGAAGTCACCCTCCAGGATGGCCTCAGGGGACATCCAGCGCAGTGGCACCCAGGCTTGACGGAAATGGTAGTACTCACTGCAGGAAGAAGCCACGCCGGGTGGAGGTGGGGTGGGGTGCAGGACACAGTCTCAGCTATCTCCGAGACTCATCCCTAGCCTGGGACCCAGTCTTTTTCCATCTCGACCCTCAGAGAAATCTGTAATATGTACATAAGTATGCTGGATAAAATCTAGAGGCATCCATGTGGGGACTGATGGTTAAATTCCACTAAAAAACAACCTTGGCGGGACCAGCAGTTGGCATAATAGCTATGTCACTGGACTCCCATGTAGTCAGTCGATCGTGGTTCAAGTCCCGGACCCGGTGGGTTAAACTCACTCCAGGCGTGTGTGCGTGCATGCCTAGGATCCCAAGAGGAGAATGGAGGAAAAGGGACTGCGGCATGGTCATTCCCCCTGGGGGGTGATTTCTCGCTTTCTGTCTCTCTCTGTCTTTCTGGCGAGCACATGCACCCTATAGCAAAAACCTCTCCAATAAAAAAAAAAAAAAAAATCAAACTTTGCTAAATGTTTATAGAAAAGAAAGCTGGGGGCCAACAGGTGGCATGGTGGTTAAAGAGCTCAGCTCGCACACATGGCTGACTGCGGTTTGAGTCCCTGGCAGACCTGGTAACTTGCTTTGTCACTTTCCCTCTCTCTCTCTCTCTCTCTGGTCAAATAAAATAATAAAAATAAACAAAATAATAATTACTGAATTCAGGAAGATACACAGGAAGCCATATGAATAAAACTGTTAGAAAGTTGGCCTAATAATTTAAAAGGTAATTTTTAAAAAGATTTTAACTCTTTTTTTTTAGATTTTTTTTTTGGGGGGGGCCATAGAACATGTGCACTCTCCAGAAAGAGACAGAGAGAAGAAAATGAGAAATCATTCCCCCAGGGGGAATGGCCATGCCACAGTTCCTCCTCTATTCTCTCGGGATTTCTGGGCACACTTGCCCAGTGTGTTCTTCAAGCCACTGGGCCTGGGACTTGAACCACTGAGTCAGCCATGTACAATCCATCACTTTAACTGCCACGTCACTTGCTGACCCCCAGTTTTTCATTTTTTTATCGTTAGAGAAAACTTACAGCCATCAGAGACTTGGGACCCACTGGCTGGGAAGCTCGCTGTAGCTTTGGCAAAAGGATGGGAAGGTTTTGTCCCCCTGCAGGCCCTCCAGCTCTGGACTAGGCAGTCACTAAGCCCTTTCTCACATGCCCTAACCGGTACCCGTCCTCTGCCCTTCACCCTCTGGGAAGGAGTGGGCGGCCCTGCACCCACCACGCCCTTCTACCTGTTGTACACGTCCTTGCTGAGGCCCAGGGCTGACACCTTCACCTGTCTCTGGGCGCTGACCAGACAGTTGCGAGCAGCCAAGTCCTTGTGCACGAAGCGGTTGTTGGATAAGTGCTCCATGCCCAGGGCCACCTGGGTACACAGGGTCACCTGGAGAGAGAAGGGGATCTCTTGAAACAGCTTTGGACAAAGGGTCAAGGTGACACCTTCAACACAGCCCTCAGTGGGGACTCAGTGCCCTTGGTGTGCTGCTCAGGAAGCCCGAAAGCCCAGTAGCCTCAGCTCCCTCCTCCATAAAATGCTACCCGCAGTAGCTGCCTCACTGGGTCGTCAGGAAGCTCAAGTACAGGACGCACAGTACTTGGTACCACTCTGACACACATCAATTGCTAGATTAAGTGACTGGGCCTAGGACTTGAACCACTAGAGCTTGGGGGACACACGCAGCAACAACTGCAGTGAAAAATAACTGGGCAGTACTCACGGCTTATACCTTTTTATAAAAATGATTGATTTAATTTTATTATTATTTAATTTACTATAGGATATGTGTGCTCATCAGAGAGAGACAGAGACAGAGAGAGGGGGAAAGTGAGAAAACAAGCCACCAGGTCCAGGACTAGAACTGCAGTCGGCCATGTAGCAGTCCAGAGCCCTAACCACCGTGCCACCTGCTGGCCTCATTCAGCTTACATCTTTATGGGTTATTTCATCTTCATTTTACTTCGAAAATATATTTTGGGGGCTAACCCATGAGGGAGTCAGATCCCACATGGGCAACCATGGTTTGAATCCCAGCCCCAGTGGCTTGAAATACACAACAGGTGGGCGTGCATGTAGACCCAAATCTAGACAGAATAGGAGAGGAGAAGGGATTGCAATGTGACCACACCTCATTGGAGGGTGTCTTATGCCTGTCTCTCTGGCAAGCCCAAACAATAAAAAAAAGTGTTTTGTGTGTGTGTGTATGTATGTATGTATGTATGTATGTATGTGTGTGAACATACATAGACACACATGACTGAGGTGCCTCCAAGGAAGGGAACTAGAGACTAGAGAGAGGCGAAGAAACTTGGGCTTACTTTTTTATTGACTTATTTAACAAAATGACTTACTCAATTATTTATCATTATGATTATTTTAAATTTGACCAGATAGAGAAGGAAAGTAGGAAAGAAAGCAAGCTGCCAGGTCTGGGACTCGAACTACAGTTGGCCATGTGGGAATCCAATGCCTTAACCACTGCACCACCTGCCGGCCTCTATATTTTTTATTTTTGAATTGCCGATGGGCACGTGTGCTTGTCAGAGAGAAGGGGAGAGAGAAAGCACCCCCCACCACCACCCCAACAGGGCCTGGTTACACTGCGGTCCCCTTCCTCCATTTCTCCATCCTGTCAGGATTCCAGGCATGCATACACTTGCCTGTTCCTCAAGACGAAAGGGCCAGCATTCGAACCGTGGTTCCCCATGTGGGCTCTGGCTCCCCATGTGCAATGCTCAACCACTGCGCTACAGGGCCAGCCCACTGACACGGTTTTAAATGGTGAAAAAACAACAACAACCAACAATGCTAACACCCCGGAAACTCCCCAGGGTTCCTTCCAAATCACATATCCGCCCTCACCTTGAGGTAAACACTACCCCGGCTTTTGTGATAATAATTTCTTTCCTGTTCTTATAAATAGTTTTCCCATTTACACACATGTTCCTAAACAACGTAATTGAGTTTTGCCTATTTAGAAACAGGCAACTTGCTCCCCAACTGTAAGTTGAAAATATCCCAAATCAGAAGTGCACTGAATATCAATACGCCTAACCCAGCGCTCAGCCTGTTCGACCTTCACAGGTGCTCAGAGGGTTTACATTAGCCTGTGGCTGGGCACCCATCCAACACAAAGCCCACTCTATAATAAAAGGCTGAATATGTCGTGTAATTTGTTGACTGTTGTGCTGAAAGTGAAGACCAGAGTGGTCGTCTGGGCGCTCAGGCAGTCACTGCAGCATGTCTACCACTTTCCCGCCATCTTAAATCGGACCACCCTAAGTCAGGGACCGCTTATCCCTCTCTTGTACCCGAATTATTTTACTCCACATTTGAGAGTCATCTTTAAAATAAAAAAAAACATTGTACTTAAGTTTTTTATCATAAATGTAATTTTTTGAGAGATTTTTGCTATAGGATGAGTGCGCTCACCACAGAGAGAGAGAGAGACAGAAAGTGAGAAATTGCCCCCGGGGGGAATGGCCACGCCACAATCCCTTCTCTTCCCTTCTCTCAGGCTTTTGAGCACACATGCACATACACCTGGCATGATTTTCAAGCCACTGGGGCTGGGGTTTGAACCATGGTTAGCCATGGGGGAGATAAGTGCCTTAACCACTATACCACCGGCTGGTCCAGCAACTAGGTTACTTTAATATTTAAGAAATATATATTAACGTACAGAACCAATATTACCTTTGCATATACTGTATGCCACACACAGTAGGTGCTGGTGGGATGAACAGGGCTGCCAAGACAGGAATCTTAGAGAGAGGACAATCTACTAGGACGGGGGACTTGTACACAGAAGGGTGCCACCACCAGGAAGAGGTCAAGCAGAGGTCGAATCAGGGCACCACGGAGTACTGATACACAAGTCCTGTCAGCTCTGCTGCCTTAACAAAACCTTGAGAGCAGTGCCGAAGGACAGGACGGGATCTGCAGCATTCCCCCGGGGGGGGAGGGGTGGACAGGCGGCATAGAGTTTAAGGCAACTAGATCCCACATGGCCAGTTACACAGTTCAAATCCCAGACCCAGCAGTTTGGAAATCACAATAGGTACATGTGCGTGCATGCCCAAAATCCTGAGAGGAGAATGGAGGAGAAGGGGTTGTGGTCACTCCCACCCAGCAGGGGACGACTTCTCACTCTCTCTCTCTGTCTCTCTGGTGTGCACCCGTACCCAACAGCAAAACGAAAAATGAAAACAAAACAAGGCAAAAAGAAACAAGTGACCTGTGGAAGACTGCTGCACAGGTTACCAGCCAGCTGTGAGCAAGTTCCAGAAGCCCTCGGGGGCCCAGGGAAGCGTCACCCGGCGCTAAGCAACCACATGCGGCCGATAAGCACAATCGTGGGTGATCAAGGAAACATACACCAAGACCCAGTGACGCATCACGTATCTGACTGCAAAAGTTCAAAGGCCGGTCTTCAAATGATCTCAAATGGTTCAGGAAAAAACTGCTTAAAAATAATAAAATGTCTACAGAGATAAAAATAGAGAGAATGATAGAGCAAAGGGGGCAAAATGGAAGCAGCTGACTCTGGATAAAGGCTTTGTAGACCTATTCGTTTTTAGAGAGAGAGATTTTTGCTAATAGGACACATGCACTCACTAGAGAGAAACAGACAGACAGACAGAAAGCGAGAAAACACCTCCGGGGGGGTTGGCCACACCACAATCCCTTCTCCTCCATTCTCCTCTCAGGATCTTGGGCACGCACGCACAAGCACCCAGCATGAGTTTTAAGCCGCCGGATCCAAGACTTGTACTGCGGTCGACTACGTGGGAGCCCAGCAACATAACCATTATGCCATCTGCTGGTCCTAGTTCCTTGAACTATTCTTACATTCTCCTAAGAAATACCAACATTAACTCACAAACACATACATTATACACTCACCAAGGGCCAAAAAGCACATTAGAAAAAAACGACGCCTAATAAGTCAAAGCAGGCTGAGTGTGGACCAATAATGACAACATGTCATGGATCAGTCAAAGATTATTTACGGGTAATCTCATTATTTATTCCGCAGGTTCTAGAAGGGAAAAACTCAAATGGGAGTGGTAGCAGGTGTTTCTGCCAAGCCACTTGGCAAAAGTTCAAAGGCCGGTCTTCAAATGATCTCAAATGGTTCAGGAAAAAACTGCTTAAAAATAATAAAATGTCTACAGAGATAAAAATAGAGAGAATGATAGAGCAAAGGGGGCAAAATGGAAGCAGCTGACTCTGGATAAAGGCTTTGTAGACCTATTCGTTTTTAGAGAGAGAGATTTTTGCTAATAGGACACATGCACTCACTAGAGAGAAACAGACAGACAGACAGAAAGCGAGAAAACACCTCCGGGGGGGTTGGCCACACCACAATCCCTTCTCCTCCATTCTCCTCTCAGGATCTTGGGCACGCACGCACAAGCACCCAGCATGAGTTTTAAGCCGCCGGATCCAAGACTTGTACTGCGGTCGACTACGTGGGAGCCCAGCAACATAACCATTATGCCATCTGCTGGTCCTAGTTCCTTGAACTATTCTTACATTCTCCTAAGAAATACCAACATTAACTCACAAACACATACATTATACACTCACCAAGGGCCAAAAAGCACATTAGAAAAAAACGACGCCTAATAAGTCAAAGCAGGCTGAGTGTGGACCAATAATGACAACATGTCATGGATCAGTCAAAGATTATTTACGGGTAATCTCATTATTTATTCCGCAGGTTCTAGAAGGGAAAAACTCAAATGGGAGTGGTAGCAGGTGTTTCTGCCAAGCCACTTGGTGCAAGTCAGAGACTACTGAGACATTGGCTGAGCACCCACTGTGTGTTGGGCCGCCTCCTCACATGCCTTCTGGGAGGTAGAACGCATCCCCTTTGCCCAGTGTCCCACAGCCAACTTTATATCCAGCCTACTGCCAAGGCCTGGCTCTCCCTCAACACCGCAGCGGCTCTGGGGGCTGTCTGCTCACCAGTGGGCCCAGAGGGGGGCTGCTGCCCATGGAACTGGCCATTCGGCATCCCTGGCTGGGCTCCCACAGTCACAGGAAGACTGCAGAGGGAAGTGAGCCCAAGTGCTGGGACAGGAGTCGCTCGAAGTCAGCTCTTCTCAGTCTGTGTGCACCGGGCAGCAGCCGTCATGCAGGCTCCACCCCTACACTGATGGTGAGAGACTAATTTACTGAGGCTTTTTTTTGGGGGGGGTGGTTTGCTATAGGGAGCATGCGCTCTCCAGAAAGACAGAGAGAGACAGAAAGTGAGAAATCACCCGAGGGGGGATGGCCATGCCGCAATCCTCTCGGGATCTTGGGCATGCACACACATGCATTCGGTGTGAGTTTAAGCTACCGGGTCCAGGACTTGAACCGCAGCTGACTACATGGGA